GATTCAGACTGGTAAAACCCATTTTCAGCTCAGCCACAGGCAGCCAGAAAAAAAAAAAAAAAAAAAAAAAAAAAAAGACCAGAATTGGCTGCTATTGCTGCAAGTTTAATTGGCATTGTTTAAACCCTAAACAAATATCAAATCCGGAGTATGAATGGAATGCAGAGGAATGACAAAGGGCTGTCCTTCAGGAACCACAAAACAAGTATTTCTGATTTGTGGAGATTCCCATCCCTGATCCTTAGACTTTGTTCTCTAGTTCAGTTTTGTAAGTCTCTGTCCCACTAAATGAGCCCCACCAGTCCTTCCCTTTCCTAGGCCCCCAATATATTATAGCTCATAGCCAATGCTGCAGGAACCACTTACAGTGACTCATAACCAATGGTCTCATAACCACTTGCTCAGTGTCAGGCTAGTGAAGGAGAAAGGAAGAAGCTCTGGGCCCAATAACTGCATCCAGATTTGTAACGGATCCTACTTTTCATAAGCTAATGCTTATCATGGCATTAAAATCTATAGAAATGCAATGCTTCCTGGCCTGGGTACCTGCTTAAGAGGATTCAAAGGAATTTTGTAAAGAAACTGTATTTGGAGTTTTAATTAAAATTCCATTTTTTCCTCCTTTTATAGGCTTTCTAATGTACTGTGTCACCCATGACTGTTGCTTCAGTTTTCATCTGTATTCCAGTGGTGCTCTTCTTATTGCTAGCATCCCCATTTTGTCTAAAGTTAGTTCAGAACACTTGTCTAAGCTTCCAACTTTTATATCCAAATGCTTACTCAATACTGCACTTAGTTGCCTCAAAGGGAACTGAACTCAGGACATAAATGATCATACTACTTAATTTTTCCTCAAACCTGGTGTCTTCATTCAAAAAAGTTCCTTGGGGGTGCCTGAATGGTTCAGTTGTTTAAGTGTCTGACTCTTGGTTTCAGCTCAGGTCATAATCTCATGGTCTTAGTGAGTTTGCGCTCCACATCGGGCTCTGCACTGACAGCGTGAAGCCAGCTTGGAATTCTCTCTCTTCCTCTGTCTCTCTGCCCCTCACCTGCTTGCGCTCCCTCCCTCTCTCTTTCTCTCTCTTTCTCACTCTCTCTCAAAATAAATAAACACAATTTTAAAAAATTAAAAAGTGCCTTGCATTTGTTAAGCACCTAGTATTAGCTAGTAAAACTCTAAATAGTATTAATCTATATAACATGGGAGATTATATGAGGTTTCAATTATGTGTAACTGTTCAGATTCATTCACTGAATTAGTGAAAACCAATGGCTTGACAAATACTAGGTACTTTTTTATTTTAATGTTTATTTATTATTAAGAGACAGAGCGTGAACAGGGGAGGGGCAGAGAGAGAGGGAGACACAGAATCTCAAGCAGGCTCCAGGTTCTGAGGTGTCAGCACAGAGCCCGATGCTGGGCTTGGGCTCACAAACCTCAAGATCATGACTTGAGTTGAAGTCAGATGTTTAACCGAGTCATCCAGGCACCCCAATGCTAAGTACTTTTAAAAATGACTTACATAGGGGGACCTGGGTGGCTCAGTTGACTTCAACTCAAGTTAAGCGTCCGACTTCAGCTCAAGTCATGATCTCAATGTCTGTGAGTTCGAGCCCTGCGTCGGGCTCTGTGTTGACAGCCTAGATCCTGGAGCCTGCTTCAGATTCTGTGTCTCCCTCTACCCCTCCCCTGCTCACGGTCTGTCTCTCTCTCTCTCCCTCAAAAATAAAGATTAAAAAAATTTTTTTAAGTGAATTACATATATTGGCACATTTAAACTTTACAACGATAAAAAAACAAGAACTATTATACCTTTTTAGAGGTTGGAAGGTGGACACACAGAGAGATTTAGTAACTTGTCCAAGATCACATGGCTAATAAGGATTAGAGCTGGGGTTTAATCCCGTGAAGTATGGCTCCAGGTTCCACATTTGTGTTTTGCACACACTGAGTTTTTCTACAAATATTAGTGATTAATGCTAGTTAACTGTTCACAATGTATCAGGTTTTGAACTAAGTGCCTGAAAAGTATTATTTGTTAAACTTAACATCAACCTAAGAAAGAATATAATAATCTTGTTCTACAGTTGAGGACATTGAGGTACAGGGTGGTTCGCTAATTTTCATAACTAGTCCTTAACTAGTCAGTTGTGATGCCACAATCTATTACCTTCCATTCTCATTGCAGGTCTCACATTTTTAACATTTAACATTCTTGGCACTTTACAACCCTATTTAAATAAACTAGCCAGTTTGGGATCAGAAGAATAGAAAAGCATTTTTATGCATTAGCAAAGTCTCTGTCTTTTTAAGTACATTATTATTATTACTATTTATTTTTTTAATGTTTATTTATTTTTGAGAGAGGGAGAGAGAGACAGAATGCAAGTGGGGGAGGGGCAGAAAGAGCCGGAGACACAGGATCTGAAGAAGCTCCAGGCTCTGAGCTGTCAGCACTGACCCTGACATGGGGCTCCAACTCACAAACCATGAGATCATGACCTGACCCAAAGTTGGACACTTAACCGACTGAGCCACCCAGATGCCCCTTAAGTACTGTTAAACATGCAAACAAATTTAAATTAAAGTTTTTGTCTTACTCTGATCCAATTCTCTAATCTCATCTAAAAGTGCAAGTGTTTTTACCTAAGTACTTGCACGGCTTCATTCTGAAGAAACTGAGTTCTCTACTGATGGATCAAAATTTAAAAATAAATTAAATAATTTGACTAATTTTCTTTAAATTTTCAGCATTACTTTTCTTTCCAAAACACTAACTTTTACCTCTGAGGAATTTGGCTATTGTCGAGCCAAATATTTCTCTGAATTTTGGAACATAAACTGGATCTTTTAGGCTTTTCCTGTAATTTGTTCTTTTGGAAAATAGAATGCTGTAGATCTCCTCCCCTCTCTAAACTTTGAAAAGTAAATTACAGTGCTGGTATCACCTTGGGAGCATATTTTATTTGAGTAATAATCATTCCCTTTGACAACATATGTCATCTTATTTAAAAAAAAAAGAAAAAGAAAAGATGATTTCCAGCAGCTCATAAAAAGGCTCCAAATGTATAATAGACATCATCAAAGATTTTTCCATCCCTGTTTCATTTTTATGAATAGATCAAGAAACATACATATTTAAATTGCCTTTAGATGAGTGCTTTAACAATGAGACCTAGTACTTGGTTACTTCAAAATATATAAATTTTATTTGGAGTGATTATAAATCAAAAACACATTTTAAAATTCACTACTCTCCAGTAAAGTTTTTTTATGACATGATATTAATGTTTAATATTCTATATGAATCCTCTGTTGTAGAGTTAAAACACAGGCAATCTTGAAACACAGCCACTAATTTTACTTTTTTTTTTTTTAAGTTTTATTTATTTATTTTGAGAGAGTCAGAGAGAATGTGAGCAGGGGAGGGGCAGAGAGAGAGGGAAAATCTCAAGCAGGCTCCAAACTGCCCTATGAGGGGGCTCCGGGCTGAAACCCATGAACCCTGAGATCATGGCCTGTGGGGAAATCAAGAGTCGGAGGCTTAACTGACTGAGCCACCCAGGCACCCGTAATTTCACTTTCAAAATCATAGTGACATCTAGGGGCGCCTGGGTGGCTCAGTCGGTTAAGCGTCCGACTTCGGCTCAGGTCATGATCTCGAGGTCCATGAGTTCGAGCCCCACGTCAGGCTCTGTGCTGACAGCTCAGAGCCTGGAGCCTGTTTCCGATTCTGTGTCTCCCTCTCTCTCTGCCCCTCCCCTGTTCATGCTCTGTCTCTCTCTGTCTCAAAAATAAATAAACATTAAAAAAATTTTTTAAAAAATCATAGTGACATCTTGAGTCTTCTAAGATAGATTCTCTGAATTTTGATCTTACTGAAAATCAACTCATGATCCTAATATGAATCTGCTCACTGGCATAGTTTAACAAAAAAGTGACTATAATTTCATATTATAGTGATCAGTTTTTTGAAAGAATGCCTAAAAGGAAGAGCAGTTCAGGTGACAATGTTCACAACTCCAAATTAACTCATTTGCTGTTTAATTAGCTGTTTCAGATACAAAGACTGCTACCATGAGACCACATCAAAGGTCAGTATCCTTGCTTTCCTGCACACAGTTGCTCTTCTGTTCTGGCTCCACCAGTCTTAAGTGGAGAGAAAGGAGAGAACAGACACTCCCCGGGACTTACCTCCAAAGGGAAAAAAGAGTGGTAATAAGTGCCCTTCCCCCCTCCTCCTCTCTAATTCATTTATCCTCTTTACTATTTACAAATACCCTTTCCTCCTTTCTAAGAGGCTCCCTTGTAATCAGTAAACACAAAGAAAAGAGAAGTTGGTTCTTAAACTCTCACTAAACTCCTATGTCAGAATATCAAAGGGTCAGTTTCTGCTGCCCTGGGGATATTCTAGAGAGTGATTTCTCTTGTCTTCATCTAGAAAGACTGGCAGCTGGTGAGATTGCAGCCTCTGAAAGAATGGAGTCTATTAAAAATTTCTAACATTTATATGATTCCTTTCATTCCTTTTATCCTCAAAGTGCTTTATAAACATTAAACTAATTAAGTGAAAGCAATTTGTGAATTAAGGCATACTTATAAACAACTGCCTGTCATTGGTGAGAAATATTTGTCCTTGTTTATTATTTCATTACTAGGCTTATGGGTGGCTTTTTAATTTTAATAGCATTATCCAAGACACCAAGGCCAAAGAAGTGGAAATGCTTCATGGTAAAGTGATCCACTTGCTATGCTATAAAATGAACCCAATCACCCCAATACCCATTCCACACACAGCTTAATTCATTTGATAAGAGTAACTGGAAGAGATTTAGCTAAGGGAAACTTAAGAAAAAATCCCGTTAATCTTATCTCTTTTTATTCTC